AATATACACATCCCTCCAGTGTTGAAGGCTCTGCTGAAATGACAGATCAGACCAGGATTGGTTCAGGCGAGAGATGAGTCGTTTTGCTCTGTTCTCTAATCTGTCAAGCAGTCGCAGATGAGACGGGGGGCAGGCAGTCCAAGGAAGTGGAGCATACTTAAAATGTGAGCTTACTTGTGCCTCGTACAGAATCTTGTAACCTCTATTGTCGAGCAGGTTCGATATATGTCTAAGTGCTGTAAGCCTCCTGGCCGCCTTGTTTGCAAGATTTACAACGTGGTTCTTCATAGTCAGTTTGGAGTCAAATTTCACCTCATGGATATCAAACTTAGTCCCCGGGTACCAACACTCTCCCATACCTTCACTTTTCTCTGCTCCGACATTACCATCATGGTGCCTAGAGACCATCATCATTTGTGTTTTCTCAGGAGCAAATGTGACCTACCATCGTTTACCCTAGGCTGATATAGCTGTAAGCTGATGATTGAGGTAACTTAGAGCATCTGGCATTTCCTCTCTTGGATAAGTAAATGTCAGAGTACAGTCGTCTGCATATGCATGGGATTCTGCGATGAGATGAAGAAGGTTATTGAAGTAAACATTCCATAACTGTGGCCCCAGCATGTTTCCCTATGGAACACTTGTCCCAGTATGTCTTACTGACTCTGTCCCATTGAGAACTACACTTAGAGATCTGTCTTGAAGGAAATTAATCACTGAGGAGAACGGTTAGTGTAAGAGCCTGCATATCGTCCAAGTCTTTCCAGTTTTGCCAAGATCCCAGTGCACACTAAACTCATCACGAAAACTTGCTCCAGTAATGTCCCATCTCTCTCTACACGCACACTACACCCTCTCCTACATCTCTCTCTCCTCTCTCTCTCTCTCTCTCTCTGATAACCACTTACGTCATCATTAATGCGAGAAGATAAGGAAGACTTCTGATCTCAGTTCTCAAGGGACAACCAGCTCTACGTCACTGTATGTAAAGTTCTGTCTCGCTCTGTGTAGAGCTTTATCTCACACTGTTATTGGGAATTCATTCTCTCTCTCATGGTTCCTCCAGGTTGGGTCATTTTCCGGCCTCTTGTCATGTTCTTGCTGTCACCTTCATGACAATGTATTCCCCTTGTGTACTCCTCCTCCTCCTTCTGATTCCTCCTTCTTCTTCTTCTTCCTCGTTCTTCCTCCTCCTCCACCAGAGTACACTTAATAGGAAGTGGCAGGAGGTGTGTGATAGGTACGGGGTATCCCAGCCTCGCCCACCAACTTCCAGCGACTAGAGAGGTGTGAAGATAGTTCCGGTCTCCGTTTTGCTTTAACAGGGGGAACTGGAATTTCACCCCCAATGATGGTAAGGTTGGGTTTTTCCGGTTTTTCCTTTTCAGGGGCTGTAAGCTTCATGAAAGGGGGAATTCCCTATTGTCCCCCCCCCTTTCACCTGGTCCCCTTTTTTCATCCTTCCCGAAAACTTCTTTCCCAAAGAGAAAATAGGAAGGGGGAGGAGGGGGGGAAAGAAACGGGGGGGGAGACCGAAATTAAGCGATTGGAGGGTAAAGAGGGTGCTTCAACAGGGTAAAGGGGAAGAAAAAACAAGGAAGGGAGGACTTTTAATGCTTTAACAGAAACATGCGGAAGTTTGGGGAAGGATTGGGGGGGTTTGACCCCTTTGTTACCCCTTTAAAAACTTTTTGACAAGGGAAGGTCACATCCTTAAACATTTGGAAAGGAGAAAGGTAGCAATAGATGATTGGAAGGAATGGAGAAAGGAAGTGGCAGGTAAGAAAGGAGGAAAGGAAAATAGGAGGAAAATGAAAAAAACAGGCAAAATTGAAAAAGGAACAAGGAGAGGACCTTAAAGGAAAACAGAAACAAGGAAGTAGGACAAAGGAACCATTTTTCAAGGACCATTCGTACAAGGAGCCAGCAGTCCAAAACCAGAAGGTACAAGGAACAAACTGTAAAAAAGAGTGCAATCCAGGCCACAAGGAACAGATGTCAAGAACCAGCAGGTAAAGGAACAGGCCGGTATAAGGAACCAGTCAAATGAACCAAACAGGAAACAAGGAAAAGCAATACAAGGAACCAGACAGGACAGCAAACCCAAAGGTAGGAACATTGGACAAGAAATTTAAGGACAAAGCCGGCGGCCCAAGGGAACAACAGGAAACAAGGCAGCGGGAACAAGGCCAGTGGAAAAACAGAGGCGGGAACAAGGAGGGGAAAACAAACCGTGGAAACCCGGGAAAGCTAGAAAAAAAGGCAAGGAACCAGCAGTACAAGGCCAGCGGAACAGGCCAACTGGAAAAAGCTGGAACAAGCAGGAAAAAGGGCCATTTGAACCAAGATGGAACAAGGCAGCTGGAACACAGCAGCTGGAACAAGGCAGCTGGAATACAGCAGCTGAACAAGGCAGTTGGAACAAGGCAGCTGGAACAAGGCAGCTAGAACAAGGCAACTGGAACACAGCAGCTGAACAAGGCAGCTGGAACAAGGCAACTGGAACACAGCAGCTGAACAAGGCAGCTGGAACAAGGCAGCTGAAACAAAGCAGCTGGAACACAGCAGCTGGAACAAGGCAGCTGGAATACAGCAGCTGAACAAGGCAGTTGGAACAAGGCAGTTGGAACAAGGTAGCTGGAACAATGCAGCTGGAACAAGGCAGCTGGAACGGAAAAAGGCAAGGCTGGGAAACAGAACAGCTGGAAACAAGCACAGGAACAAGGCAGCGGGAAAAGCAAAAGGCAAGCTGGAACAAGGGCGGGAAAACAATGCGGCTGCAAGGCACGGCCACCCTGGAAAAAGCAGTTTGGAACAAAGCAGCGGGAACAAGGCATTGGAACAAGGCAGCTGGAACAAGCAGCTGGAACATCAGGCTGGCACAAGGCAGCTGGAAAAAGGGCAGCTGGAACAAGCAGCGGAACAGGCAGGGAACAAGGCAGCTGGAACAAGGCAGCTGGAACAAGGCGCTGGAAAAAGGGGCGCTGAACAAGGCAGCGGGACAAGCAGCTGGAAAAAACAGCAGAAAAACTGGACAAGCAGCGGAACAAGGCAGCTGGAACAAGGCGGAACGGCTGGAGCAAGTCAGCTGGAACACAGCAGCTGGAAAAAGCGCTGGAACAAGCACTGAATAAAACGCTGAACATTTTGCTTTAAATACAAACAAGGGAATATTCTGTGTGTGGTAAATGCTTCCTGTGTGTGTGTGTGTGGTGTGTGTGTGTGTGTGTGTGTGTGGTGGGGTGTAACTCTCACATCGTGTCGTGGGTGTTAATGTTGACATTTTAAGAATACATATATATAATATATATATATATATATATATATATATAATATAAATATTATATATATAAAATATATTTTATATATTTATATTAATATATTATATATATATATAATATAATATATAAATATTATATTTTATATATATATATATATAAATATATATATATATATAATATATTTATATATATATAATAATATAATATATAATGATATATAATGAGTCATGGATTCATCTGGGTTTTTAATAGTAAAAAATAACTCATCATTGAAATTTAGAAATTTTTGACATTGTTGTTGAAGTCTCAATATAAAAGCAAATAATGTTTTTTATTGTTTGTGTTTTCAGATTGACGGAGTTGAAGGTTAACATCGTTCCCGAGGTGCGTTCCCGAGGTGCGTTCCCGAGGTGCGTTCCCGAGGTACTGGAGGTATTAGAGAGGTAATGGTGTTGGGAGGAGGTGTTTGAGGCGGTGCTTAGGGAGGCGTTTGAGGTGGTGCTTAGGGAGGTGTTTGAGGTGGTGTTGGGGAGGTGTTTGAGGTGGTGCTTAGGGAGGCGTTTGAGGTGGTGTTGGGGAGGTGTTTGAGGTGGTGCTGAAGGAAGTGTTAAGATGGTGTTAATGTGGTTAGTGTAACTTGTATTATCGTAACGCTAGTTAAAACGTACTCTCATTCCCTCTGAACCCGTCGCTGAACCTGTACGAACTTTTCGTACGGAAACCTAATATGTACAAAAATACTGGATCTTTCACTTGTAGGAGGTCCTGAGTCATCGTTTACTACAGATATAATATACAAAAAAGACAGATGCAACTACTGGAGTACCATCGCGAGGCCTCCTACGAGTGAAACATCCTGTGCTTTGTTGTTATTCTGAAGGATACTTGTGTCTTGACCCAGGCCTCTGTGTGGCCCTTGTTGTTTTTTTTTTTTTTCAAATAATTTGAGACGTGTGACAAGAGTCAAAGTCTCTCGACAGAAGAGGATCAGGAAGATGGAGTTGGAGTCGACAACATTGGATCTGTCGTGGCCAGCTAAGGGACTGTTGATCCTCCTTGCCAATGGCTGTTTGATAGGAGGAATATGGGAAAATAAGACAAAACTCAATAAAATGGTGTTTGGGAAATGTCTGAGGTGGTGTTGGGGAGGTGTTACGGTGGTGTTGGGGAGGTGTTACGGTGGTGTTGGGGAGGTGTTACGGTGGTGTTGGGGAGGTGTTACGGTGGTGTTGGGGAGGTGTTACGGTGGTGTTGGGGAGGTGTTACGGTGGTGTTGGGGAGGTGTTACGGTGGTGTTGGGGAGGTGTTACGGTGGTGTTTTGGGGGGGTGTACGGTGGTGTTGGGGAGGTGTTACGGTGGGTTGGGGAGGTGTTACGGTGGTGTTGGGGAGGTGTTTACGGTGGTGTTGGGGAGGTGTTACGGTGGTGTTGGGGAGGTGTTACGGTGGTGTATGGGAGTTTTGAAGTACTCTTTAGGAAATTGTTCAGGCGAGGTTTTTAGCTGTGATAGAGGCAAAGTTTTGACATGTTAGAGGTGAGGCTTTGGCTGGGTTGGAGGCGAGGTTTAGACTGTGCTAACGGCAAAGTCTGACTGCGTTAGAAGCGAAGTTTTGACAGTGTTGTAGCGGTGTTGTTGGTGGTGGTGGCTCCATCTACCACTGTGGTGGAACTGAGGGACAGTCAAGGCCTCTACTCCCCGCCCTTTATAACTGTCCGTGTGGCTGGTCTCAGAGCTCAGTCCTTCCCTGGAGTCCTGGCGTGGTGCACACGTTCACTCCTCTCGCTGCGGGAAGCCAGCCAGGGATAGCCTCAGACCAGCGGAGTGTCCCTAGCGTGTGACCCTAAGCCAGACCAACCCACTTCGGGAGCGCTCAACCCTGAGAACCTACCAGCCACTACTCTTTGGGACGCCTGGACTAGGAAGGTCCCAGCGACTTCCAATTGGGAATTTCTGTTCCTCAGAAGGACCAAACCATCATGCCTCGAGATCCCTTTGCCTAAGAAAGACCGGGAATTCTTAGTCTTCGAAGCGCTCAGCTATCATCCCTCCGAAACCATTTACCTAAGGAAGATCTGCAGGAAACTTTTATCTTACAAACACACAGCCACCAGCCATCGGGAACGCCTTGCCTAAGAAGAACCCAGCCATCAGCCCTTTGGCACCTCTCGTGTAAGAACTATCTTCTGGATTTTTTTTAGCCTAGGAAGGGCCTAGCCATCAGCCTTCGAAAGCCCACTAAGCCAAAGGAGGACCCAGCTATTGTTCCTTTTGGGACAACCTCAGCAGTGTTTTCTGACAGTGGCTTGACGTGTTTGTGACTAGTGTTTATGTGCGTTTGAATCTTCCCCCGTCCCGTGTTTTTGTCTTGACGGCACTGTACACACAACACACACACACACACACACAAAACACAACACACACATATATATATATATATATATATATATATACACACACACACGCACACACTTGACTCATAAACACACGAATACTGAGGAAATAATTAGTATGCAACGTTGTCCTGGGATCTAAGTCGTCGTCTCTTCCACCGTGGCTGTAGCAAGGTTAGTTACATAGTATGTTCGTGAAAGAGAGAGAGAGAGAGAGAGAGAGAGAGAGAGAGAGAGAGAGAGAGAGAGAGAGAGAGAGAGAGAGAGAGAGAGAGAGAGAGCAAAACTCATTTAAGAAGATTTCTTTACACGAATTGTGTGTACCATTAAAGTAATGGTTGTGTATTACATTCACTTCTTTCATCTTCTTGACCCCGACCAATGATTTTCCCGTTTAATATCGACTAGGAATTGATTAGGAGATAAAGGAGGAGTATTGGTAATACTGTTGAGAGAAAGGAGGAGGAGTATTGGCAGTATTGTTGAGGGAAACATAAGCTTGAGCCCTTCGGTGCCATCAAGGCACCACCTGCCTTGATGGCAAGCAGCCTTGAGAGATTAGTTAGGGAAAAAAAGGCCACAGAAAAAAGGTCACAACCTAACCTAAATAAAATGTGACTTATTTTCTGTCACCTTTACTTTCTCTGTGACTGCTTTTCTGGACTCCTAGTCACCTACTGGCCCAGGATAGTCAGGTGCAAGTCTTTTCCACAAGACACGAGAAAGGATGTTCCAATAGAACTACTACCGCACACGGCGATAGTAGCCTCTTGTCATTACGCTTTCGCGAGTCAAGAATCTATTGGGTTTGGGGGGGAGAGTCATGACCCACGTGGAGGTGAATGGGATTTTCTGGGTTCAGTGGGGCCCTTTACGACGTTTCGGTCCAAGTCGGTCCCAAACATCGTCATCCTCACGTTGGGCAGCAGTTGGTTATGAAACGTTTCGCCTTTCACAATGGGCTTCTTCAGTCAAATACGGAGGCAGCAGGTGTGGTAATAAATGAGATGATATAATCCGTCCATTAAAATTGGAGAAATAGTATTGGGACGTGGTCAGTCCCTCAGCCTGGGGAAGAGTTCAACTCCACTGTCTGGAACGATATCATTCTACCACTACTACTGCTACTTTCTTCCCCACCACTATTACTACTACTACTTCCACTACTACTACTACTACTACTACTACTACTACTACTACTACTACTACTACTACTACTACTACTACTACTACTCCCTGTGCTGCTGCATCCGGTTATATTCACCTGTATTGGACTAAAGAAGCTGCTGAGCAGACGATACGTTTCGCCATGAAGATCCCAAGCGTGTACATATACCTTATTCACAATAGTACTATTTAGGCTCTTGTTTGAGTACGTCTTGAATATGCTTTCGATGTTTCGGAAGCCAAATTGCGTACAAACGAAAATACGAAGGTCTTGTAGAAACGTTGCGAGAAACCGTGTAAGGTAATCCATGTCAAGAAAGAATTCAAAGCACTGAGGAGGGTGTGAGTTGAAATGCCTAGCATGGGTCAGTAAGTGCATATATAACCCCCCATAATATATAACCCTAAGTTTTCAGTATAAGGCCTACCTGCGCAGTCCTCCGCCTTCGTGGAGTTCGTATGCGCACTCACGGTGGACAAGCCAGTAAAAAACGCGTAGCATCGAGGTGAAACCTCGAGGCAGAAGGTGCAACCCAGTTGTGGGTGTTTGAAGTGCAAAGTGTAGCTGTGTGTTGCAAGCAATGCCATCATGAACACTTTGCAATGTTGAACTCAAAGAGGCAACTGTGTTGGCGGTGTCTGTAATGAAGGGAATTCCGGAATTGGTTCGGGTTTTACCTGAGTTAGAGCCGCCTAGCATGGGCTAGCAGACCTGCTGCATGGCTGTCTATCACTCAGATGACAGACAGACACCCAGGGCCTCATAGTGGGAGAGTGGTAATAGTAGTAGTAGTAGTAGGAGGAGGAGGAATAGTGGTAGATCTACATAGACAAATCAAATTTTATCTCAACTATCTAGATAGAATTGAAGGTAGCTAATCCTTCTTAGGAAACAGAATCTCCCTCATTTTCTCTCTCTCTCTCTCTCTCTTCTCTCTCCTTCCTCTCTCTCTCTCTCTCTCTCCTCTCCCCTCTCTCTCTCTCTTCTCTCTCTCTATGTATATATATATATATATATATATATATATATATATATATATATATATATAAATATATATATATATATATATATATATATATATAATTTTTTCAAGGAGACATCAACGCCAACCAGCAAATGATCCTAGACATCTCCCCTCTCAAACCATACATTACTTATATAAATATCTTCTCAGCATTTGTGCAAATACCTGTCAACACCTGTAAAAATATCTGTCAACAACTGCACAAACACCTGTCAACAACTGTACAAATATCTGTGAACAACTGTACAAAAACCTGTCAACAACTGTACAAATACCTGTCAACAACTGTCCAAATATCAGTCAACAACTTTACAATTACTGTAGTGATGGTTGTTGTGGTGGTGATGGTTGTGGTGGGGATGGTTGTTGTGGTGGTGATGGTTGTTGTGGTGGTGGTTGTTGTGGCGGTGATGGTTCTTGTGGTGGGGATGATTGTTGTGGTGGTGATGGTTGTTGTGGTGGTGATGGTTGTTGTGGTGGTGATGGTTGTTTTGGTGGTGATGGTTTGTTGTGGTGGTGATGGTTGAAATGGTGGTAATGGTTGTTGTGGTGGTGATTGTTGCTGTGGTGGTGGTTGTTGTGTGGTGATGGTTATTGTGGTGGTGATGGTTGTTGTGATGGTTGCTGTGGTAGTGGTTGTTGTGGTGGTGATGGTTGTTGTACTGGTAATGGTTGTTGTGGTGGTGATGTTGTTGTGGCGGTGATGGTTATTGTGGTGATGGTTGTTGTGGTAGTGATGGTTGCTGTGGTGGTGATGGTTGTTGTGGCGTGATGGTTGCTCTGGTGATGGTTGTTGTGGTGGTGATGGTTGTTGTGGTGGTGATGGCTGTTGTGGTGGTGATGGTTGTTGTGGCGGTGATGGTTGTTGTGGTGATGGTTGTTGTGGTAGGATGGTTGCTGTGGTGGTGATGGTTGTTGTGGCGGTGATGGTTGTTCTGGTGATGGTTGTTGTGGTGGGATGGTTGTTGTGGTGGTGATGGTTGCTGTGGTGGTGATGGTTGTTGTGGCGGTGATGGTTGTTCTGGTGATGGTTTTGTGGTGGTGATTGTTGAAATGGTTGGTGATGGTTGTTGTGGTGGTGATTGTTGCGTGGTGGTGGTTGTTGTGGTGGTGATGGCTATTGTGGTGGTGATAGTTGTGATGGGATGGATGTTGTTGTGATGACTATTGTGGTGGTGATGGTTGCTGTGATGGTTGCATGTGATGGTTGTTGTGGTAGTGGTTGTTGTGGTGGTGATGGTTGTTGTAGTGGTGATGGTTGTTGTGGTGGTGATGGTTGTTGTGGCGGTGATGATTGTTGTGGTGATGGTTGTTGTGGTAGTGATGGTTGCTGTGGTGGTGAGGGGTTGTTGTGGTGTGATGGTTGTTGTGGCGGTGATGGTTGTTCTGGTAATGGTTGTTGTGGTGGTGATGGTTTGTTGGTGGTGATGGCTGTTGTGGTGGTGATGGTTGAAATGGTGGTGATGGTTGTGATGGGGATGGTGTTGTGGTGGTGATGGTTGTTGTGGAGATGGTTGTTGTGGTAGTGATGGTTGTTTGTGGTGGTGATGGTTGTTTTCGTGGTGATGGTTGTTGTGGTGGTAATGGTTGTTGTTGTAGTGGTGATGTTGTTGTGTGATGATGATGATTGTTGTGATGGTGATGGTTTGTTGGGGTGGAAAATGGTTGTTGTGGTGGTGATGATTGTTGTGGTGGTGATGGTTTTGTTGTGGTGGCAGTGATGATTGTTGTGGTTGGTGATGGTTATTGTTGTTGTGGGGGTGATGGTTATTGTTGTTGTAGTGGTGAGGTTTTTATGTGGTGAGGGTTTTGTTGTGGTGAGGGTTGTTTTGGGGTGAGGATGTTTTGGGGTGGTTGTGGGGTGGGTGAGGGTTGTTGTGGGGGAAAGGGTTGTTGTGGGGGAAGGTTGTTGTGGGGTAATTTTTTGTTGTGTGGTTATGGTTGTTGTGGGGTGATGGTTTTTTTGGGGGGCAATGGTTGCTGTGGTGGTCATGGTTTTTGGGGTGGGGGTTTTTTGCTGTGGGGTGATGGTTTTTGATTTGGTGATTTTGTTGGGGTGGTGATTTTGATTGGGGTGAGGGTTGTGTGGGAGGGTTGTTGTGGGGTAAGGTTTAGTGGGGTGAGGGTTTTTGGGGTGGGGGGGGTGGTGGGGTTTTTTTGGCTTGTGGTTATGGTTTTGTGGGGTGTGGTTTTTTTGGGGTGGTTTGGTTTTGGGGGTGGTGTGGTTGTTGTGGGGTTATGGTTGTTGTGGGGGGTTTTGTTTGGGGGTTTTTTTTGATGTGGTGGTGATGGTTTTTGTGGGGTTAGGGTTGTTGGGGTGTTTTTTGCGTGGTGGAAATGGTTGTTTATGGGATGGTTTTTGGGGGTTATGGTTTGTGGTGGTGAGGTTTTTGGGTGGTTATTTTTGTGGTGGGAGGGGTGATGTGGGGGTTTGGGTTTTTTGTGGGGTGGGTTGTTTTTGGGTGGGGTTATGGGGTTGGGTTAGGGTTGTTGTGGGGTGATTGTTGGGGTGGTGGGTTTGATGGGGGGTTAGGGGTTTTTTGTGGTGGTAGGGGTTGTTGTGGGGGTTTTGGGTTTAGGGGGTGGT